CCATGATGGAAAACTATAGCTTCACAGCAGGTGGCTGTGACTGGCCTCTGAGGATGAGCAGGGAGAAAGCAGAGCTGGGTCTTATATTAAGAGGTAACTGAGCCAAAGCAAGGAGGGGTGCAAGAGTGCAGACCCAGGTGGAGTGGGAAAGAAGAAAGGGAGGAAGCTAGAGTGGGAGCTCTGGGATGAGGGACTTTTTGTTCTCTTTCATCTCCAGGCCTGCTGCAGCAGGTAGCACAGTAGATGTTCCATAAATAATTGTTGAATTAAATCTGGAAAATCCAATTTGGGTCCTGAAAGTGACAACCCCAGCTTCTATTTACTGTTTGCTGCAAGCCTGGAACTTCATAATGAATGGTCTGGGAGGCGGGTACCCTGTTTCCAGTGGGGAAAAAGCGTTCAGAGGTTAAATGCCTTCAAGGTCCCCTCTACTGCAGGAAACAACATGGGTTCACATCTGCTTTGCTCAGGTCTCCATGCCGTATGGGGTGGCTGGGGGACAGGTGAGACAGCCTGAGCAATCACATCTAGTCACTCTGGCTCATGTTACAGCAACCCCAAGAAGGGTCATCCAGTGAAGGGGAAAGAGTCCAAGCCAAAGATCATCTCTTCTTTCTAGGCAGTCCTTTGGGATAGGGACAGAAAGCAAGGTTAAGATGGACCATCTGGTTCATGGGAAAGATGAAGTACAGAGATGGACAGGGACTTACCTGAAATCAAACAGTAAGGCAGCATTAATGCTGGGGAAGAGTCAAGGTAGGTTTCCTATGGTCTGAAAAGCCAGGAAATGACCCTTAGAAACCATGGGAGGCAGAAGGCAAATCAGCCTCAGTACACCAGTCTGTAGATCACAGAGTTTGGTGAGAGGAGCAGTAAATGCCCAGGCAAGGGTCCAGGAGTAGATGGGGGACCAAAGGGCCTAAACACAAGCTCCAGCCCTGGCTCTTCCTTATATGTGACCAGGGCAAGTGCCTGCCCCTCTCTGGATGCAACTGACCTCTGAGAGCCCTTCACATCTTTTGCTTGCCTGCCAAACACCAAGTCTCTTTCTGTCCTCCCAGACTTAAGGCATGGACTGACTGCGGGAAGCTGCAAGGGAAAGTGCTATTTTGGACTCATTTGTGGGCAGTGAGGAGCTCTGACCAGCAAAGGCAAGAGCCTGGGCATCTCAGGTGGGTGTGGGGTAGATTGCAGAACTGAACTGGGGAGGAAGACAGCTGGCATCAGGGATCAGTAAGGGCAAGGTCCCTAATGCCAGCTGTGGGAAGTTACCCAGGACAAGCATTGCCCCGAGAAGGGGAGGAAAGGGAACAGATGAGCTCCAGGGGCCTGGCAGAAGCTGTTATCCCCAACACGGGGTCTCTGTAGATCCACATAACCCCCTGGGTGGGCTTGTTCTTAGGTGAGGTGATTTGCCAAAGGCTATCTCAGCCTAGGGCAAAACTGGGAATGGCGAATCTTCCATTGTCCCATTAAAACATATATTCCTCCATTTTTCCTGAAATTTCTCTTCTCCAGGCTTCTTAACCTCTAATGCTGCAGCAAGCCACCTTCCTTCCTGGGCATAGCCACACAGTCCCTGGTCCTTGATCTATCTGTGTTCTGGGCCCAGAGAGTAACTGGACTGCAAGTACAACCTTGGGATCTCTCAGCCCTACTGCCTGCAGTTGGTGGCTCTGGATTTTATTTTATTTATTTTTAGACCTACCATAGAACCAAGATGGGCCGGGGATTTAGCTCAGTGGTTCCACCACCTGCCTGGCAAGCACAAGGACCTGAGTTCAATCCCTGGTACCAAAAAAAAAAAAAAAAAAAAAAAAAAAAAAAAAAAAAAAGAACCAAGAGACTCTCACACCTGCCTTTCTGAGCACCAGTCAGGTGATCCAATATGACCAGGAAAGGTATCAATGAGAGGATGGGGAGCCCAATGAAGCCAGAGGGGGCCCAAACCTCAGTCCCCAATCCCAGTAGGACTCCAGATCTAGCAGGCTGGAACTTTCAGGCTGAACTGGCTGAATACATGCTGAACCTGGGCTTCAGATCCAGATAATCCTAGCTCAGCTCCTGCTGTAACCACAGGCTGACCCCTACTCTGACCTCCAAGACCCAGGCCTCTAGAATGAGCCCTTCCTCATGGAGCTAAGGCACAAAGAGTATCACAAACACACCTTCAGGCAGAGCAGGACCTGCGCTGCTAGGTGTCAGCCTAGGACAGAGCACTGAAATCTAAGTCTGAACCTCTTGTTCCTCCAGCCTTGTATAGTTGGCCTTTGGTTTTCATGACTTCTGCATCTGCAGATTCAGTCAACCATTTAGTTAGACATGCAATAGTTGTATCTGTCCCAAACAGCTGCAGACCTTTTCCTTGTCATCATTCTCTAAACAATACATAACTATTTATATAGCATTTACATTGCATTAGGTATTATAAGTGATGTAGAGATTGATTTAAAGTTCAGGGGAGCATCTGCATAGGTTACATGCAAAATTATGCCATTTTATGTAAGGAACTTGAATATCACAAATTTTGATGTATGTAGGGGTCCTGGAAGAAATTCTTCATGGATACCAGGGAAGATTGTTTTTCCATTTCAAAATTGTAGTACAGCTGGCAGGAGGTGCCCCACTCGTCACCAAAGCAGTCATCTGTTCAGATTCCTCATAAACAAGCCAATGTCCTGGCCCCTGCCTCTGGGTCACCATCATAACTCACCCCAACTTCCTAGGGACTTATGCCATGCCACCTACAATGAGGTGTGGCAGTTAAGGCCTTCTCTGGGCTCACTTTCCTAGCTACACTGTGTGAGGTTCAACAAGATAAGTCTGAAGGTTTTGTAAGGTCACCTCAGATGCCAGGATTTTAGAAAGCCTGTGATTCCGAGTCCTTTGTTCTGGAGCCTGGGGCTCTCCAAGTTCCACGAAAAGCTAGCCTTAATCTCTCCTGTGGTGCCCACCCCTCCTTCTGTATCCTCACTGTGAAATAGCCAGATGCTCCCAGATGTTCCCAGACGCTCAGGGAGGGTCACTTCTTGCATGGGCTTAGGAATCAGAGTCAGTGGGAGGAGGACCTCGCCCATCCTGACCAGCAGTAAATAGTCATTAGGTTCCTTCATAACCTGAGGGGTGCGGGGGTGGGAAGTGTGCAGGCTGTGGCTCTGCAGACCTGCCTTGTGGAGCCAGCGTGGCCTAGGAGCCTCCTACAGAAAACTTGAATGATCTTGAGGCAACAAGTTTTGGCACCCCAGTTTTCAGATGAATAACTAAGTTGGGGGGATTTGACCAAAGTCTCCCAGAAAGGTAGTAGAATGGGCTTGGACCTCTTTTAAGATGTCTAATTAGATGCCAATGCTCCTTGACCAAAAAACCATATCCCTACTTGGTTTACTAAGTGGCATCTGAGCCAGGGATTTAGCTCAGTTGTTCCACCACCTGCCTCACAAGTGCAAGGTCCTGAGTTTGAACCCCAGTACAAAAAAAAAAAGTGCGGGTGAGACTAAGTGGCATCTGAAATGCCACTATGACCCAAAACTTGGAAATGAGGTATAAAAGTTCCCCTTACCAAAAAAAAAAAAAAAAAAAAAAAAAAAAAAAAAAAAAAAAAAAAAAAAAAAAAAAAAAAAATCTGTGGGAAGAGAGGGCATCCTGGGCTTCTCTGGCCCCGACTCTGGGCCCCAGTATTGACCCTCTCAAGGCTTCCTCCACAAACTAGGATGTGGGGCCCAGGAATAATCATACCCACTAGGCCTACCCTGGCTGCCTACACAGACAATGGAGGGACCATGACCCTGACACCAGTTACCTGGAGTTCCCTCTGCCCTCCCACAAGCTGGGCTCAGCCCTGGGAAATGGAAACTCTTTCCCTACCACCCCACCCATACCCACCGCCACACAAGGTGTCCAGTTCTCCTGGAATTTCTTGGACCCTGGGAACCTGACCTTTCCTGTCTCTCATGTGGTTCAGATTCCATGGGGTTCGTTTAAAACCCCAGCCCTAGCCCATCTATCCCCAACAGACTTACTTACCTTCATTTCCCTTCACAGGCTGTCATTATCTTGACTCCAGCCAGGCTTCTGACTGCAGCAGTAGGCCTTTTCTGCTTTCAGAGTCTCTACCAGCTCTGGGAGAGTCCCCTGAGCTCCCTGAATGATACTGAGTTGGGCACAATTGTTGGTGAGCTGCTACCTCTGACAATTCCCCTTCACAGAGGGGCATGGCTCACAGAGCTGGGAATACAGTGTGAATAGTGGCCTGGGCTTGTGCAATTTATGCCACCAGCCACTGCCATGCTGGGCACTCCAATGGCTGCCACCGTTGGACAGTTGGTGGTAGGGAGAAAGAGGAGTGTGTCACCTGTCTTGCTAAGGACTAACCCTATCAGAAAGGGGTAGGGATTTGGCTAAGCCCTGGGCTTCCTTTATAGTAGACACCCTCCCCAGGGGCTTTTCCCCCCTCCTCTCCAGCTAGATAAACTTCATCTGACAAGGCAAGTGGGGTTATGCTCTCTGGCCACTCATTTCCACGTGGCAGGACCCAAGCAATATCCAAGACTCCAGTCTCTCCTCACCCCCACTGAATAGAAGGGATTGAACCCAGAGGCTCTTGGGCCCCTTTATCTCCCATCCTTTTTAAAAATCTGAGACAGAATCTCGATAAGTTGTCCAGGCTGGCCTCGAACTTCTTATCTCAGCGATCCTCTTACCTGAGCCTTCTGAATTGCTGGATAACAGGTGTGCGCCACTGCGCCCAGAAAAGCTCCTGTCTCTTTGTATTGCTTTGTGCAACTCCTTTCTTTGTGTTTAGCTCTAAGGGACCCATCCCAGATGCGCCCGGGACCGCGCTCCCTCAGCTCTGCAGTTCCTGGGGTGCTCGAAAGATGGCGACCTAGAGCAGTTTGGCTTGGCCCGAGAGCGAGGCCCTACGCGGCTCCTCTGTAGCGGGCTCGGGGGTAAGAGCCGGGAACCTGACGTAGGGGGCGGAGCCAGTAGCCGTGATGTGAGGGGCGGGGCCGCGTGCCTCCGGGCCGGGCCGGCAATTCATTCAAAAGGCGCGCAGGTTGCGCTGCCTCTTGTGCGCTATCCCAGCTGGCCCCGGGGGCGGCGTCGGACGTAGGGCCAACCTGGAACTGCGGCGTCCAGGTAAGCGTGG